TTCCTTCCTTCCTTCCTTCCTTCCTTCCTTCCTTCCTTCCTTCCTTCCTTCCTTCCTTCCTTCCCTCTCCCTTTGGTTTTTCCTTTCAGAGTTTGTCTGTCTGTCCTGGAACTTGCTCTGTAGAGCAGACTGGCCTTCCTTGTGTGGGATAAAAGGTGGCACGTGCCACCATGCCCAGCTCAATGCAGGTCCCTCCCAGTCAGCCCTCTCAGGGTTGGTCAGAGTCATGCCTCCTTTGAGGTAGTAACCACGCAGCAACCGACAGTTTTCCAGGGTCACTGCCCAGACCGCAGTACTTTGAACCATCACATGAAGAGCTGAACGATCCTGCAGCTCAGATAGCTGGAATGTTCCATTTGTCATTGTGTGGTTTAGGGACTTTAAGGCTGTGAGATCAATGACTTCAGTTTGAAAATGAGAAACCAATAAGCATAAATATGGACCCAACCTTGGTTTTGGATGTAAGCAGAAACATCTGAGAGTATTCTTCTGGAAATCGCCATCAGCTTGAAATGCGTCTGATACCTGGTCATTTCTGCCTGGAGTGTGTCACTGCAGTCAGGTTCATAACACTTTGTACTTATTCTTCTTGCTATTAATGCTAGCTTAAAAAAATCCACAACCCATCAAACATCTAGTTGTCTGTGGGATTTGGTTTGGAACTCCAGTTTCCCCTAGCTGTAGTCAATATTGTTATGATTGTGTGTATATGTGAGTGTGTATGATGTCTGTACATAAGAGCAGGCATACTTATGCCAAGATTTGTATGCAGAGGTTAGAGGACCATTTTGTGGAGTCGATTCTCCCTGTCCACCCTTATGTGTTACACCCTGGAGATTTAATTCAAGGTCTAGGCTTCCACAGTAAGCACCTTTACCCACTGAGCTCTGATACGATATTTATTTATTTTGTACCAGTACATCCATGATGAGCATCCAGATGGCGGTCAGAGAACAACTTGTAGAAGTTGGCTCTTCCACTGTGCAGATCCTGGGAAAGGAACTTGGGTTGTCAGGCTTGGTGGTAAATGCGTAAATGCGTATGCTGACAGAGCCACCTAGTGACCTGATCTATCTATCTATCTATCTATCTATCTATCTATCTATCTATCTATC